CTATAGACTAGACTATAGACTAGACTATAGACTAGACTATAGACTAGACTATAGACTAGACTAGACTATAGACTAGACTATAGACTAGACTATAGACTAGACTATAGACTAGACTATAGACTAGACTATAGACTAGACTATAGACTAGACTATACTAGACTATAGACTAGACTATAGACTAGACTATAGACTAGACTATAGACTAGACTATAGACTAGACTATAGACTAGACTATAGACTAGACTATAGACTAGACTATAGACTAGACTATAGACTAGACTATAGACTAGACTATACTAGACTATAGATTAGACTATAGACTAGACTATACACTAGACTATAGACTAGACTATAGACTAGACTATAGACTAGACTATAGACTAGACTATGACTAGACTATAGACTAGACTATAGACTAGACTATAGACTAGACTATAAACTAGACTATAGACTAGACTATAGACTAGACTATAGACTAGACTATAGACTAGACTATAGACTAGACTAGACTATAGACTACATAGACTAGATAGACTAGACTATAGACTAGACTATAGACTATACATAGACTAGACTATAGACTAGACTATAGACTAGACTAGACTAGACTATAGACTAGACTATAGACGAGACTATAGACTAGACTATAGACTAGACTATAGACTAGACTATAGACTAGACTATAGACTAGACTAGACTATAGACTAGACTAGACATAGACTATTGACTAGACTAGACTAGACTATAGTCTAGACTATAGACTAGACTATAGACTACTAGACTATGGACTAGACTATAGACTAGACTATAGACTAGACTATAGACTAGACTATAGACTAGACTATAGACTAGACTATAGACTAGACTATAGACTAGACTATAGACTAGACTAGATAGACTATAGACTAGACTATAGACTAGACAAGACTATAGACTAGACTATAGACTAGACTAAGACTAGACTATAGACTAGACTATAGACTAGACTATAGACTAGACTATAGACTAGACTATAGACTAGACTATAGACTAGACTATAGACTAGACTATAGAATAGACTATAGACTAGACTATAGACTAGGCTATAGACTAGACTATAGACTAGACTATAGACTAGACTATAGACTAGACTATAGACTAGACTATAGATAGACTACTATAGACTATAGACTAGACTATAGACTAGACTATAGACTAGACTATAGACTAGACTATAGACTAGACTATAGACTAGACTATAGACTAGACTATAGACTAGAACTATAGACTAGACTATAGACTGACTAGACTAGACTATAGACTAGACTATAGACTAGACTATAGACTAGACTATAGACTAGACTATAGACTAGACTATAGACTAGACTATAGACTAGACTATAGACTAGACTATAGACTAGACTATAGACTAGACTATAGACTAGACTATAGACTAGACTATAGACTAGACTATAGACTAAACTATAGACTAGACTATAGACTAGACTATAGACTAGACTATAGACTAGACTATAGACTAGACTATAGACTAGACTATAGACTAGACTATAGACTAGACTATAGACTAGACTATAGACTAGACTATAGACTAGACTATAGACTAGACTATAGACTAGACTATAGACTGGACTATAGACTAGACTATAGACTAGACTATAGACTAGACTATAGACTAGACTATAGACTAGACTATAGACTAGACTATAGACTAGATTATAGACTAGACTATAGACTAGACTATAGACTAGACTATAGACTAGACTATAGACTAGACTATAGACTAGACTATAGACTAGACTATAGACTAGACTATAGACTAGGCTATAGACTAGACTATAGACTAGACTATCGACTAGACTATAGACTAGGCTATAGACTAGACTATAGACTAGACTATAGACTAGACTATAGACTAGACTATAGACTAGACTATAGACTAGACTATAGACTAGACTATAGACTAGACTATAGACTAGACTATAGACTAGACTATGGACTAGACTATAGACTATACTAGACTAGACTATAGACTAGACTATAGACTAGACTATAGACTAGACTATAGACTAGACTATAGACTAGACTATAGACTAGACTATAGACTAGACTATAGACTAGACCATAGACTAGACTATAGACTAGACTATAGACTAGACTATAGACTAGACTATAGACTAGACTATAGACTAGACTATAGACTAGACTATAGACTAGACTATAGACTAGACTATAGACTAGACTATAGACTAGACTATAGACTAGACTATGACTAGACTATAGACCAGACTATAGACTAGACTATAGACTAGACTATAGACTAGACTATATACTAGACTATAGACTAGACTATAGACTAGACTATAGACTAGACTATAGACTAGATTATAGACTAGATTATAGACTAGACTATAGACTAGACTATAGACTAGACTATAGACTAGACTATAGACTAGACTATAGACTAGGCTATAGACTAGACTATAGACTAGACTATAGACTAGGCTATAGACTAGACTATAGACTAGACTATAGACTAGACTATAGACTGGACTATAGACTAGACTATAGACTAGACTATAGACTAGACTATAGACTAGACTATAGACTAGACTATAGACTAGACTATAGACTAGACTATAGACTAGACTAGACTAGACTAGACTATAGACTAGACTATAGACTAGACTATAGACTAGACTATAGACTAGACTATAGACTAGACTATAGACTAGACTATAGACTAGACTATAGACTAGACTATAGACTAGACTATAGACTAGACTATAGACTAGACTATAGACTAGACTATAGACTAGACTATAGACTAGACTATAGACTAGACTATAGACGAGACTATAGACTAGACTATAGACTAGACTATAGACTAGACTATAGACTAGACTATAGACTAGACTATAGACTAGACTATAGACTAACTATAGACTAGACTAGACTAGACTATAGACTAGACTATAGACTAGACTAGACTAGACTATAGACTAGACTATAGACTAGACTATAGACTAGACTATAGACTAGACTATAGACTAGACTATAGACTAGACTATAGATAGACTATAGACTAGACTATAGACTAGACTATAGACTAGACTATAGACTAGACAATAGACTAGACTATAGACTAGACTATAGACTAGACTATAGACTAAACTATAGACTAGACTATAGACTAGACTATAGACTAGACTATAGACTAGACTATAGACTAGACTATAGACTAGACTATAGACTAGACTATAGACTAGACTATAGACTAGACTATAGACTATACAATAGACTAGACTATAGACTAGACTATAGACTAGACTATAGACTAGACTATAGACTAGACTATAGACGAGACTTTAGACTATACTATAGACTAGACTATAGACTAGACTATAGACTAGACTATAGACTAGACTATAGACTAGACTATAGACTAGACTATAGACTAGACTATAGACTAGACTATAGACTAGACTATAGACTAGACTATAGACTAGACTATAGACTAGACTATAGACTAGACTATAGACTAGACTATAGACTAGACTATAGACTAGACTATAGACTAGACTATAGACTAGACTATAGACTAGACTATAGACTAGACTATAGACTAGACTATAGACTAGACTATAGACTAGACTATAGACTAGACTATAGACTAGACTATAGACTAGACTATAGACTAGACTATAGATTAGACTATAGACTAGACTATAGACTAGACTATAGACTAGACTATAGACTAGACTATAGACTAGACTATAGACTAGACTATAGACTAGACTATAGACTAGACTATAGACTAGACTATAGACTAGACTATAGACTAGACTATAGACTAGACTATAGACTAGACTATAGACTAGACTATAGACTAGACTATAGACTAGACTATAGACTAGACTATAGACTAGACTATAGACTAGACTATAGACTAGACTATAGACTAGACTATAGACTAGACTATATAGACTAGACTATAGACTAGACTATAGACTAGACTATAGATAGACTATAGACTAGACTATAGACTAGACTATAGACTAGACTATAGACTAGACTATAGACTAGACTATAGACTAGACTATAGACTAGACTATAGACTAGACTATAGACTAGACTATAGACTAGACTATAGACTAGACTATAGACTAGACTATAGACTACAGACTAGACTATAGACTAGACTATAACCTAGACTATAGACTAGACTATAGACTAGACTATATACTAGACTATAGACTAGACTATAGACTAAACTATAGACTAGACTATAGACTAGACTATAGACTAGACTATAGACTAGACTATATACTAGACTATAGACTAGACTATAACCTAGACTATAGACTAGACTATAGACTAGAATATAGACTAGACTATATACTAGACTATAGACTAGACTATAGACTAGACTATTGTCTAGACTATATACCAGACTATAGACTAGACTAGACTATATACCAGACTATAGACTAGACTGTAGCTAGACTATAGACTAGACTATAGACTAGACTATGACTAGACTATATACTAGACTATAGACTAGACTAAAGACTAGATTATAGACCAGACTATAGACTAGGACTATAGACTAGACTATAGACTAGACTATAGATTAGACTATAGACTAGACTATAGACTAGACTATAGACTAGACTATAGACTAGACTATAGACTAGACTATAGACTAGACTATAGACTAGACTATAGACTAGACTAGACTAGACTATATACTAGACTATAGACTAGACTATAACCTAGACTATTGGCTAGACTATAGGCTAGACTATAGACTAGGACTATAGACTAGACTATAGACTAGACTATAGACTAGACTAGTCTACCCTTGTTAAATGAGGTTGAAGTTGTCTAGACGAAGAGAAATCTATTGATCATCTTTTTACCTACTTTCCTGCTGCTGGGAGCACTTAATTTTAAGAATTCACGCAATAAGAATTGACGAATTACATATTTATAAAAACATATTTTTTCGATGTACATATATGTATAATCTAAGAATGTATTTTACAAAATCCTCCTTATTCTTAAATCTATTTACAACTAAAACAAAGTATAAAATTTAATAAACTAATATAGTTTTCATATAGTATATAAGTACACATATTTAATTAAATATGTTATCATATATTTTAAACCAAAATCCGGTTCTTATCACACCCAACGAGTTAACAATATCCGACTCTAATGACTGTTTATAAGATTTTAAAATGGTAGGCTCCAAAGGACCCCAATGTGTGGCTGGTTTAAAAGCATTTTTGATACGATCACAAAGTTTTGATTCTGGTCTCTGATAAATGGTAATACAGCCCCATATTATCAATTGACCAATGCCAAAGGCTGAAATACACCAACCTAATACTGAAATTGAAGAAAATAAATTGGTTATTTTATTGATATATATTGCGAATCAAACAAATTCTTTACCATAAAGATAATCGGGATATTTAACACCATTATAATCCAGAGGTTTATATTCCACAAACGTATAAATCAATATGGCGGTCATAAAAGCTGGGGTAATAACACTCCAGCAAAGTCGATAATATAGGGAAGTTTTGATATTCAACATAAATTGGATATCTCGGCAAATGTTTTTAACTCCTATATACCAGAAAAGAATAGGATTAGTTGGTTTTATATTATTTTTTTATAATGTTGTGTGGGGGTATATACCATATATCCATCCGGCTGATATTAATTCAAGTATACCCAGTACAAAGGCCACTATTGTTACACCATAGAAGTCTATATAATTTAACATATATTGTCCTCCAGGTGTTACATACATTAGACCAAAACAGTAAGATATTATACATATCACCAGTACTATGCGCCATCTTTTGATTTTGGGAAAAAGTTCACAGGCCACTGTTATTACACTGGTTATAATACCCACATTACTGCCGATACCCAAAATAAACATCATGAGAAAGAAGAGGGCGGAGAAAACCTGAAATGATTTTGGAAGTAATGTATAGGTTAAGCCACTGCTAAAATTAATAAAATTTTGTGAGAAATTGCGATCATGAAGGCCATTGACTGTGCCACCTGCACGTCAATTATGTAAATTTTTTTAAAAATGGATCCAACCGTTTTAAAACTACAGATCTACATATTAATTCAAACATGTGACCTGGTCCATTTTTTTTCAAATAGCGGGATTATATAAGAGATCAGATAACATTGTTTTAAAAACATTTGCAGACCTCTTAGTTAGTTAGTTAGTTAGTTAGTTAGTTAGTTAGTTAGTTAGTTAGTTAGTTAGTTAGTTAGTTAGTTAGTTAGTTAGTTAGTAGTTAGTTAGTTACTTAGTTAGTTAGTTAGTTAGTTAGTTAGTTAGTTAGTTAGTTAGTTAGTTAGTTAGTTAGTTAGTTAGTTAGTTAGTTAGTTAGTTAGTTAGTTAGTTAGTTAGTTAGTTAGTTAGTTAGTTAGTTAGTTAGTTAGTTAGTTAGTTAGTTAGTTAGTTAGTTAGTTAGTTAGTTAGAGAAAGGAGAATTCGTATTTAAATAATCATACTTACTTGCGGCACCATTGTAAATTTCGCTATAGCATCTGGATAGGAAATAAAAGCCAAACCGGGTCCACCTTTCACCACACTCCTAATATCTGTAGTACCGGTTTCATGGGCCAAATTTCCCAAAATACCAAAAATAACAATACCCGATAGCAGAGATGTAAAAGTATCCAAAGACGTGACGATCGTACAATCTCTGAAATAATAGAAAGCAAAGTTTAAGAAATTGATATTAACTCCACTATTAGGACTGATGATTTACCGGCTTATATTATGATCGAAACGATTGTAGGAGGCATACATCAATATAACACCATAACAAACGGTTAAGGAGAAAAATACTTGTGTTACGGCCGCATACCAAACACTAGCATCGAGCAGTTTATCCCATTGCGGTCTTAGGAAATATAAAACACCATCAAATGCTCCGGGTAAAGTTAGGGAACGTACCAATAGAATCAACATAATGAGATAAGGGAATAGAGCTAAGAAATAAGCTGCTTTACCCGACGATTTGATACCACGTATAACAATGGACATTATGATAACCCAGGAAACGGCTAATGTTAGAGACAAATACCAATCGGGGGCACCAATACCATCGTCTATGTTGGGGGTTTCATGTAAAATAACTTTGCTGTTAAGAAATGATGAGAAATGCTATTGTCAATGGACCGATTCTATTAATAACTATCAGAACTTTTTAAACTTACAAAAAATAGTGTTCAGCTGATGATTTCTTAATTGTACCATTTAATGCCTCCGTTACCACTTGACTTTCCGTGGAATCCTCAGTATTATTTTCGAATCAATACACTCGTCGCCCCACTCTTCACGACAATAACTCCAAGGTAATATGGCAAAAAATGATAATATCAAATAACGTAATGTCAGGGCCATTAGAGAGGCATAATAAGTCGCAATGAAAAATGTTAAGATGACTTGACCATAACCAATACCTATTGAAGACAAAGATTAATACAGTTAATATTATTTATAAAGTTTAAATTATAATCAAATTACCTTTCATTATGGGCGCATATTCGAATACTTTGACACTTCCTCGACTAGCAAATTGTCCCAATATCATTTCTAAATAGTAAATGGGTTTACCCACTAAAAATAATACTATTATATAGGGTATCAGAAATGCACCACCACCATTTTCCAAAGCTATAAAGGGAAAACGCCAAATATTGCCCAAGCCCACGGACAGAGCTATGCAAGACATTAAAAATTCCAAACCATTGCCCCAATGATCACGTCCCGGTGAGGTTTGAGATTCATTATTGGAGATGGAATCACAGGTTTTCTAAAATTACACAAAAATTCGAAAGAGTTTAAATCTTTCATTTTAAAATTTAGATATTCTGTTAAAAAAATAATTTCTTATATTTTGTTTTAAAAGTTTTTTAATACAACCTTCGTACCGTTTGATATCTAAACAAATAATAATTAACATTTTTTTTTATGAAACCCATAAACCTTTAGACTAGACCCCATACAGATTATGCTGGGCAATTTAATTGGAACAATTTTAAACCCATCATTAAACTGATAAACATGATAATTTGTTTTGATTCACTTGTTTTTACTGTCATATATATATTTTTGTCTCGATCACTCTTGAAATTAAATAAACAAGATCATAAAATACTAACTTGTATATTTTCATCACTTTCCGCTGTATTTATCAAGTCCACTTTGGAGGAGGTAAAACCAGGATTATCAAAACCACCACTTTCACTATTTTCTCTATTCATATTAGTTATTATTTAATAATATATTTGTACTTTTAAGTTAATTAGTTAATTATTTATTAAAATTTTTATTTATTTTTGAATTTTTTGCACATTTTCCACAAAAAGCGTTGACACGGAATAACTTAACAAGTCCAATTGACAACCAGTCTTATAATAAGTAAAGTGTGAAGTGATCTTTACTTTTTGTAGAGAATTCCCAAAATGATAAGAGCTTTTCAGTTTCAGATAACATCGACATCATCATCATCAGAAAAATAATTGTTCCGTTTCTCTTCTGGGTGGGGGAGAGGTGTAGCTACTACAGGTTATAATTGGTTTTTATTTTATTATTCCGTTTGTGTAGAGGTGTAATGGGTTGTAGTGAGGCGTTTGTAACGTATTTGGATCGTTGTGAGATTTCAATTCGATTTAGTTCAGTCCATCTGTCTATCGGTTGGTACCATTATAAGGATAACTAGCTAGCTAGCTAGCTAACTAACTAACTAACTAACTAACTACTAACTAACTAACTAACTAACTAACTAACTAACTAACTAACTAACTAACTAACTAACTAACTAACTAACAACTAACTAACTAACTAACTAACTAACTAACTAACTAACTAACTAACTAACTAACTAACTAACTACTAACTAACTAACTAACTAACTAACTAACTAACTAAACTAACTAACTAACTAACTAACTAACTAACTAACTAACTAACTAACTAACTAACTAACTAACTACTAACTAACTAACTAACTAACTAACTAACTAACTACTAACTAACTACTAACTAACTAACTAACTAACTAACTAACTAACTAACTAACTAACTAACTAACTAACTAACTAACTAACTAACTAACTAACTACTAACTAACTAACTAACTAACTACTAACTAACTAACTAACTAACTAACTAACTAACTAACTAACTAACTAACTAACTAACTAACTAACTAACTAACTAACTAACTACTACTAACTAACTAACTAACTAACTAACTAACTACTAACTAACTAACTAACTACTAACTAACTAACTAACTAACTAACTAACTAACTAACTAACTAACTAACTAACTAACTAACTAACTAACTAACTAACTAACTAACTAACTAACTAACACTAACTAACTAACTAACTAACTAACTAACTAACTAACTAACTAACTAACTAACTAACTAACTAACTAACTAACTAACTAACTAACTAACTAACTAACTAACTAACTAACTAACTAACTAACTAACTAACTAACTAACTAACTAACTAACTAACTACTAACTAACTAACTAACTAACTAACTACTAACTAACTAACTAACTAACTACTAACTAACTAACTAACTAACTAACTAACTAACTAACTAACTAACTAACTAACTACTAACTAACTAACTAACTAACTAACTAACTAACTAACTAACTAACTAACTAACTAACTAACTAACTAACTAACTAACTAACTAACTAACTAACTAACTAACTAACTAACTAACTAACTAACTAACTAACTAACTAACTAACTAACTAACTAACTAACTAACTAACTAACTAACTAACTAACTAACTAACTAACTAACTAACTAACTAACTAACTAACTAACTAACTAACTAACTACTACTAACTAACTAACTAACTAACTAACTACTAACTAACACTAACTAACTAACTAACTAACTACTAACTAACTAACTAACTAACTACTAACTAACTACTAACTAACTAACTAACTAACTAACTAACTAACTAACTAACTACTAACTAACTAACTAACTAACTAACTAACTACTAACTAACTAACTAACTAGCTAACTAACTAACTAACTAACTAACTAACTAACTAACTAACTAACTAACTAACTAACTAACTAACTAACTAACTAACTAACTAACTAACTAACAACTAACTAACTAACTAACTAACTAACTAACTAACTAACTACTAACTAACTACTAACTAACTACTAACTACTAACTAACTAACTAACTATCTATCTAGCTATCTAACTAACTATCTATCTAACTACATAACTAACTAACTAGCTAACTAAACTAACTACTAACTAACTAACTAACTAACTAACTAACTACTAACTAACTAACTAACTAACTACTAACTAACTAACTAACTAACTAACATAACTAACTAACTAACTAACTAACTAACTAACTAACTAACTAACTACTAACTAACTAACTAACTAACTAACTAACTAACTAACTAACTAACTACTAACTAACTAACTATCTATCTATCTATCTATCTATCTATCTATCTATCTATCTATCTATCTATCTATCTATCTATCTATCTATCTATCTATCTATCTATCTATCTATCTATCTATCTATCTATCTATCTATCTATCTATCTATCTATCTATCTATCTATCTATCTATCTATCTATCTATCTATCTACCTATCTAACTTATTTAAAATGCATTATACTAAGTTTATTCATTTCGGGGGTAGGGTCAAACATGGCCTACTTCATACCGATTTAAGTACGACACACGTTTTGCTTATGGGAACTAATTAATAAGAAACACGAAATTTCCAAGAATACATATTAGATTACACAGGTCGACAAATTTTTCACCCAGAGTCTCAAAGAAGAAAGAAGATATGTGAGATGTTAATTAAGCCTTTATTTTAAAGTTCACAGAATGGACTTTCTGATGGCATATAAGATTTTGTATATATGTATATTTGTCTTGGCGTTGTCATAACAAAAGGGTCAAAAATAATGTATTTTCAGACTTTTGGACACAAGGTGCTGAGTTCAATCTGAGGTCAGGTTCTAGGTTTCAGGGTTTCTACTTTTTGTCGGCCTGTGTTATTGTAGCTCTCAAACAAAATGCTTCAGGAATAACTCTGTCCGTCTGTCAATATAAATATTTGTAATAAAATAAAGGGAAGGCGTGGAACCTCGTCGATTCTTATATTTAGCAAAATATAGCAGCATCAGTTGCACCAGCAACTTTTTCTAACTAGTATTATTTTGGTAGACGGTACGAAATAGGTTTCATTATCATCTGTGATTAAAATCAAAACATTATTCACAACAACTGTCATATCTTTTCGCCTTTACCTGAGGATCTAAATTTTAGCTCTAAGAGAGCAAACATTTAGTTTTAGATTCTAAAACTAAATGTTTGTCCTCTTAGAGCGAACATTTCAAATTCTTAAATTGCAATTTTTAGGTCCAATCTAAAATCTACATCACAATGACAATGACCTCATATCTTCAAAAAAAAAGAAACTAAACTACAGCGCTCAGACTTTCTTAAGAGACATGCATTTAGTATGTCTGATAATATAGTAGCGTATACAAAATCTGTTGTTAACTAGAGCTCTAAATTATCTGTTAAAACACATTTTAATAACCTCTAATAAAGACAAATAATTATTTTTGTTAAGTCCTATTATTAAGATAATAAATACAACAAAATCGCAAAGAACTAAATCAGAAATATTATACAGAAATAGAGATAGGATTAAATAGCAACTCTGACAATAACCTATAAACAATAATATTTTTCAAAAATAGATTTTAAAAGTAAATATTTTTAACATTTTTTGTAAAAGACAAAATATTATCGATATTTTATCAGAATAACAAATGGTTTAATAAATATTTTATTAACCTAGAACTTTACTGAAAACGTACTAAATGATATCGTAAGATTTGTTTTTATTGGAATTATTCATAAGTTGTAATAATCGTTTAAAAATAAAGCAGTAAAGTTAATTTCTTTATGTTGTATTTAGCGCGGAAAATATAATATCGTATAGATAAATACTATCGGCAAACTTTGCCTTAAACTCAAAGTTTGGTCTCAGAAAATAATATATTTTAAAGAACTGAGCCATGCCCCCTTTATCTTATAAAATAGGGATATCAAGTGATTTTGACCAAGAATCATATTTTCTACTTAGTCCATCAGTATCTGTTGCCTATATATTCGTAGAATCTTCTACATGAGTTACTTTTAGCTAACCGATATACTTTTTTAAGTTTTTTTGATTTGCCTCGATTTGTTATATCCAATGTTTCCTAGATAGTTTCGAGTTGCACTATATGGGCCGAAGTTTTTCTTTGATGGGATATTTTATTAAAGTTTCCTTCTACTTTTTTAAGAGCAGCAATAGAATTTTTAACAATGTCAGGATCCCATTATACTCCTTGGGTTCCTATAGACCGTTTTTCTGTTAAAGAAATCTCCCACCGGGGGCATGTAACTTTGGTGTAAGACTTTTAGCTTGGTGTTATTGGAGTCCCGGGGAAAATGGTTGCTCTAGTCTGCCGGGACTATAAACTGAAGATAATCAAATGTATCTTCGGCCTTTCCATGGAATGATTTGACAGAGGTTCGAACCATAATCTGGTACCAGGGCAACTAGTTGCTCGCAGGATAGCCACCCTTCCGTGGTGGCTGTTTAGACCCAAATTCGCGGGTTAAAAGACTGATGCACGGCGGTTGTGAGTCGTCGAACCAGCTCACCCTGTAGTTGAAAAAGTACCACAATATAGCCAAGATGGCAGGTGTTTACGTAAAGCACTTCGACTTCTTGTCAAATATATCTTTGACATTTACTTTTTAATTTGTTATCTAGGGTTCTTGTACCGGGGCAAAGATCTATGTACAAATAACAGACTACATCTCGATTCCGTGATGAAAAGGATTAGATGTGTGCCGCCTTAATACTCCCCCTCCTTCTAAGTGTGTGTGTAAGGAGTTAAATAAGTCATTACTACGCTGACTTACAAATAGGTAGACGACAAAGTTTCTCACCTATGAGCTCTCAGATTACAAGACTACATAATATTAATGCCGATGGTATAAAGTAGTAATTGAAAAGTAAGTGATTGAGTAAGTTTTAAACCATTATCAAGATTTTAAGTTACTGGTATTTAATTTTGTCGCCAACTGTATTCATCAAAACCCCCCTATTTGTGATTTTTAATATCTTATTCCTATCGTATAATAAACATCTTAATGTGACACTGTAAAATATTTAGATAAAGTTAGACTAAACTAAATTTTTGTTGCTTTTTTTTAGTTTCAAACTAAATAAATATAGGAATATTTTCTTATACAAAATCCATTTAGGCGGATTTTTATTTGGGAAAATATAGCATTGCATCTCCTTAAC